CCAGGAAACTTATGGACAAGCAGAGGTTCTCATCCATACAAGCTGCAAGCAACAGAAATCGCTATGCAGCTGCATGTTATAGAAAAGGTATGTTAGTCATTTTGCTGAGTTATTGTTTTATAGCTTGCCCTCTTTTAGCTTGAGGACAGTTGAAGTTGCAGAAAGAGATCAATTCAGACATTGTACATGAGGGCATGTGCTAAGGGGTGTGGTTGTTACTCAGCTGTGCCAACATAGAGCACCTCAGCCTGAGGTCAGGAGGCAGCGTTTTCATTGTTAAGGAGGCTTCAAGTAGGTATTAGATAGAAGAGACCAATTTGTAGTATCTGTTCTTTTTAATCCTTCCTTTTTTTTTTAAGCAGTCAAAGGTACAACTTTACCTTTTTGCAACAAGTTTTCCTTTTAATGAAGGCAGCCCACCTGGTCCAGTACTCTCCCTCATCTTCAATTCTGCAATGTTCACTGTGTGGCCTTGCTTTTAAAATCTTTGTCACTTTGTCCTTCACCCTGAGCATGGGCGCTGCGTCCTCATTCATTGCTATGGGGAGCCCTACTTGACAGCATTTTCTTTGGGAAGGGTACATTTTTCACCTTTTCTATGACTTCTTACCCATCCCAAGAAGACTGAAACAACTCCAACATTTGGGGTGTAGTCCGATTTTAAAGTTAAACTCCAGAAAAAAAACATGTTTTTGACTTTACATTGGTCAAGCTTAGTTGCATCTGAAGCTTGCTATCCTACATCCGGGGGGGCTGCTGGGGATGCTGAAAATCTTAGTTGTCGTCTTGACAGATTCACTGTCAGCTTTTATCTTCAGGTCTCTGCTACTGAGATTTCCCATCTTGTACAGTGCAGGGATGGCAGTCATTCACCCGCTCTCTTTCTCCCCTATCACCAATTGATAAAGTGTTTTGTATGTTATATACAGAATACAAGGCATTCTGTAATTGGACAAAGGGTGGTCTTGTTGTTCATCTGCCCCGTCTCTTTCCTTGTGAGGGGAGAGAGCAAGTGACTGCTCTTCCTGTGTTGTGCAAGACAGGCAGATCAAAGCTGACCATACATCTGTCATGAAAGCAGCCAAGATTTTTAGCATCCCCAGCAGCCTTCTGGAGGTAGTATAATACAGTAACACATCCCCGGCACTTGTGGCAACTAGTTGATCCATCTTCTCCCCATTCCTGAAGTCATATAAACGATCTTTACACACCGTGCTGCTCCCTCACAAGGACTATGGAACCTTTAGCTTGAAATCTATAAAAAAAAAAAGCACAGAGCGCCCCGACATGTGCAGATTCATCTTTATTCAAATAAAGCAAATGGTCAAGTTTTACTGGCAAACGTGCAGTAAAAAGCGCTTGGATCGATCTCTCTGTCAATGTCAGTAGATCAACATAGAGGACGCCACTCCACTGGCTGGCATGCTGCCTCACGGCTGTTCGTCTGTATTTGTGGCTAATGCGTTTCCGGGGCATGCCCCCTTCTGATCCACCTGGCTCTGAAGGTGCGTGCCCTGGAAATGCATTAGCCACAAACAAACAGCCATGAGGCGGCATGCCAGCCAGCGTAGTGGCGTCCTTTGTGTTGATCTAACCGGGTTCAGACATTGACCGAGAGATCGACCCAATCGCTTTTTACTGCAAGTTTGAGTGTTATTTTATCATTTGCTTTATTTGAATAAAGATGAACCCTGCACATGTTGGGGTGCTCTGTGCTTTTTGTAGTATATAGAGTATTAGAGGTAACAAACTGATTGGTTCAGCTTAATCTTTAATGGTGCCGGGTTTGTTACAGTAATGGAATAAGCTTGATTTTTGCCCATTCTTGATAGATTACATCTGTATGTTTCTCTGTGCAGGTGAAATTCACCTAACTCCTTTGTGTGGGATTTTACAATTACGTCCCAGTTTTACATACCTGGATAAAGCAGACACTAAATTCAAGGAACGTGAAGCTGCAAATGATGGTAAGCTGTATTAATAGTTTTTTTTCTTAAATATATGGAAAACTTAGGCCTGTGGAGTCAGTGCATTAAGAGCCACCACACACAGACGGATCCTGAACATGGGCTCCAAATGTCGCATTCCTCTTGTCAAGCCACTCCTGAACAACAAACAGCGCCAGAAGCGTCTTACCTGGGCTAAAGAAAAACAGACCTGGTCTGTTGCTCAGTGGTCCAAAGTCCTCTTTTCTGATGAGAGCAAATTTTGCATCTCATTTGGAAACCAAGGACCCAGAGTATGGAGGAAGAATGGAGAGGCACACACTGCAAGATGCTTGTCCAGTGTGAAGTTTCCACAGCCGGTGTTGATTTGGGGAGCCATGTCATCTGCTGGTGTTGGTCCACTGTGCTTCATTAAGTCCAGGGTCTATTATTCTTTTTTTTTTCCAGCTGGAGATTCCTCACAGGATGAAGGTGAGGAGGACGTAAAGCAAGTTACTGTAAGTCTGGCATAGTGTTCTGTGTATTGGTGTCCCATTGCTTTATTAATGATCCACCTGATTGGTCTGACTTGCTAAGAGTACCTGTCACCTTTTTTCTTTACATTCAGCATATCTCTGTTACATTTACTCTTATTTTTGCGTTTCACTTTCATTTTATTTGTTTTACCCTTCATCAAGTGGCCCATCTACTATGTAGTTGTGAAGAGGGTTCACACTATCGGTCTGTACACTGTTGGAGGAAAATTCTGGTTATGTTACACTATTAATGCTTGTTATATTACTTTAATTCAAAAAGGAGAAGAACAAGTGTTAATGTGTGCATTTTTTTCTGTATGTTTTAGTTTTGTATATGCTATAATGTAAAATGCATTGCTGATCTAATTTTTAAAATGCTTGTTGCTTCCCTGTAATAGTTAGAATCTTGATCTGAAATCACTGTAGCAAAATAACAGC